TTAGTTCTTGAGTTGTGTTTTAGAAGATCATGATGTTGAAATTAGTTTTACTTGCATATTAGTTTTTGAGTTTCAATAATATTGAGATTTATTTTATGAGAATAGGTTGGAAGAATATATATTGGTTGGTTAGTTTTGAGTTATATTCTAAAATGGGGAGGTCATGATGAAATTCGTACTTACTATTGATTATTTGTGTTTTTGTTAAGCTTTTATAGAAATAGGTTAGAAGGGAGAGATATATTGTTGGCTAGTTTTGAGTTATTCTAAAGGTGGAGAGGTTATGTTGAAATTTGTACTTTTGATTATTTGTGTTTTGAGTCTAAGGTTAGTTTTTTAATTAAGTTTTAGAATAGATATTGTTTTATAATGGATGAATGTGTTAAAAGTTTTAGTTGCATATTCAGATATTATCATAGGTGTGAAGGAAATATATATAGTTGGGTAGCCACGTCTGGGCAACCAACTATTTTTTTAATTTATTTATTCATAAAATAATGACGGTCAATATCTGTCACGAAATATAGTCATTCCATGACGCACATATCGATGTAGCTACAGTGACGTACAAACAATGTCACACAAAAGATGACATACAAACAATGGCGTACAAACAATTTCGCACATACAATGACGGTCACAAAACAAGGACAGTCATAAAGATGTCGGTCGTCACCCGTCATGGTTATTCTTTCATGACGGCACGTCCGTCATGGAAAATACTATACATGATGGGCAATGCCCGACCTTAAAAGGGTCGTTTCATGACGGCCATGTCCGGATGGAAAGAAAATATACATGACGGGCAATGCCCGACCTTAAAACTGTCCAACATGAAAGGGAAACAAGGACACTCGTATAGATGTCGGTCAGTGACTGACATGGTTAATATTTAATGTCGGGCAATGCCCGTCATGAAATAGCAGATTTGTTGTAGTGAATATTTTATTTTTCAAAAATTCTAAGATTATTTCAATCTCTATATATGTCAATATTTCACATATATTGTTCAATTGTTTAACTAAGGACTAGATTGGATTAGAAATTATCAATAAAACAAATTCCAAATCTTATTAGTTATACTTTATACAGTATTAAAATGCGAATGTTTCATTGAACAGACTAAGATTACAATCATCGAGGTTGTGAGAAATTATAGACCGTAGTGGCATAGTAGGAAGAGGATGAAAATAAAATAGAGGAAAAAAAAGAAAAAAAGACATTTGAGTCGACATGTCGATATTTTGTCGATATTTTGTTGACATGTCAACATGTCAACGACATAGGGAAAAATCGACTTTTTCCCCCTATGTCCATATCGAGCATGTCGACATTTCGACACGTCTCTCGACATTTTGAACCTTAACAGAACAACTATATATACTAAAATTTGAATCATCTATATTATGTTATTTATCATTTATTCCTCTTTCATTATTTTTTAAGTTCATGTCAAATATTTAATATTTAAGCATTCATAAAAGGGTATATACATTCAAATTTGAAATTTACTATAAAAAATTATATTAAAAATTTAAATCCACGTGCCAAGTACGTGAATCTAACTAGTATTTTAAAATGTGGCTTTTGAGATGAAATTTTGATATTCCTTTTTAACCTTGTTTTAATTTGTATAATATAATTTTATATTTTCAAGCCTAGTTTAATTCATTTTTAATAATTATATCGATACTTAAGAAAAAATAAATAAGTTTATTAATAATCTTATTCAGGTTCAAAGAGACATTGATGCTTTTGAAAAAAGAAAACATTAGTAATTCTATTCAGATTTAACTCTAAAATATTTTTAATTTAAGTTTATACACTATATATATTAATTTTTATATAAATAAAACTCAAAATGATAAGCTTGGTTGCTTATATTGGTTAAATTATAGTTTTATTTATTAATTCAAACAATTTCATCTATTTTTACCATTTTCGTGATTTTTCTCAAAATATTCATCGATATTGACACTTCCATCGACATTTCCGTAAAATTAGGACTTCAACATTTTCTTTGAACATTGACATTTTTAAAGCTTGGTTGTGTATGAAAAAATAAAACAATCTACATGAGTTTATTTTGATATGGCAAATGTTAAAACTTTATATTATAAAATTTAAAGTAAAAATAGAAAGTCAATCCATGCGCAAGTCATTGAATAACACCTACTCCTTGATGTCGAAAGATATTAAAATGTCAATTTCATTAAAATATCGATAGAAATATCAATAAAATGTCGATGTCAAGATATTTTTTAAAAAATTATAAAAATAAAAAAAACTCAATTTTTTTTTAAATTAACAAATAATTGTTTCACAATTTATAAACAAGTTTAAAATGAGTAATGTTAATACTATATGTTAATACTATGTCTATACTAGTGAAATTTTATTAATATTTTTCTACATTTTGTATTTTTCTACATTTTGTCATTTTTTTGTAATATTATAGAAATGTCAATTTACTCCTCAAATCGATGTCAAACTCATGGATTCATGTACAAATCAATGGACATGTCTCATGGATTCATGTACAAATCAATGGACATGTCAACATGCCGACGTATATTTAGTACCACAATTACAACAAACAGTAGAGAAAAATACTATGCCTTTTTCTTTTAATAAGTAAGAACTAAACGTGGTTGCTAGTTGGTCAAAATGTTTATCTTTTCAGTATACTACTTCCATCTCAAAAAATCAAATTGAAATTTCTTTTAGAACAACATTTAGAGTGACGGTTCGAACCTTTTTATCCGAGATAAGTACTTTAACCCATTGCACTCTAGTCTGACACTGAAAAAAAAAGGGAAAGGTACCTTATACTGAAATGGAAGTACTTGATAAACAAGAATGAAAGCAGAATAGTTACAAGGAATAAAAATGATAACATTCAAAACCACAACGATCGTTGTCATAGTCGTAATCTTGCATTATGAACTGTTACTACTAAACAAAACTACACTATTTACATCCAAAATTAGTCAGAACACTATTCTTCTCCATTCTTTTCAAACTTTTTTCCAATTTTTCTTTTCTTTTCGTTTTTTTTTCCTTTTTTTTCATTTTTTCCTTTTTTTTTCATTTTTTCCTTTTACAAAGTTAAAAATGCCATTTCCAGATTATAAGGATGAGATGCATCTTTCCCAGAGTCTAATAGCTCCTATAAATACCCATAAGATGGCACATAATGCTCCAAGAACAGAGAAGAGAAAAAACCCACCCTTCTTGCTCCTGCTTCTAGTTCTCCTACTCATAAGAGTAGAAGAATCGACTGGAGAAACCGTTGTGCTTTTCATACTTATTCTCCTCCTACCGAAGCTAGACACTCGATCAAATGTCCGATTAACCAGACCATTCTCCGCAGCTGAAGCTGGGGTAGTTGGTATAGTTTCAACAAAGGCCCAGAGAGCGGAAGAGACGCGACTAGCAGAACCCCCATCTTCCCGGGCTTGATTTTGGTTTGTTTCAGCAGCAAAATTTGAAGGGTCACACAATACACCTATATATATATATATTGCCACAAACTACTATATTAGCAACTAACTAAGGTCATTAGATTTATAGAACAGCTTCCCAACACCGGAAGATGTATCATTTTCCACGAGGAGAGAATTTCCAGTATTTACCTGAAGTTGGTAGTGATTCTGAGAAAGCAAAGCCGTTAATGGCCGGATCAGGCATCGGCATTTGATTGTCGTTCTGGCTTGCAATTGCAGAATCTGGATAAGATTGGAACTGACCATCCAAGGTGTTTGCCACATTTGCAATTGCAGAATCTGGATAAGATTGGAACTGACCATCCAAGGGGTTTGCCACATTTTCATTCTGGTATAAATTATTAACAGTTCCACACTCGAATCGCTCCAGATCATTAAGAAACAGGGCCGCATCACAGAACTGATCAAGCTCGTACGAACTATTTAACTCTTCAAATGGCAAGGTCCCGGATGGTTTTCTGGTGCTTGGTAGAGTAAATTCAGGGCCACCAAGATCATCTATTTCCAGAAAATCTTCGTCAAATAGAATACTAGCTAGTTCAGAAAAGTTGGGGGCAGATGCAGCCTCAGGTGACTTGAATGGTTGAAGTTGAGAGACATCCGACTTGGTGAGGTCGAAACTTCCAGGCACATTACACGGCTGCCTCTCGGTACAAGACACTTCAGCTGATCTTGGAAGGATATGATCCCCGGAATGTAGATCTACCACAGTACTTACAGATTCATCTTGAACACCAACCTACCAAGAAATGGAAGGAGAAACCAGAAGTTAATATTTCATTATACTCCCTCGTCTCCAGGGGCGGATCTACAGTGGGCCAAAGGGTGGCTCGAGCCTCCCCTCATCGTTAAAACATATATAAAATAGTACACTTAAAATGTAAATTCTCTCCGTTGGTGCAGTGAAATAGGGTCAAAGCCCCCCCTGAAAGGCCACCGTTTGAGCCTTACTCCACGTATTTTTTTATTTCGTTTTCTTTTTGTTAAATAATTCTTTTCCTTTCATTTTTTTTTTTGTTAAATAATTTTCTTTCTTTTGTTTTTTCCGTTAAATAATTTTTTTCTTCCGTTTTTTTGTTAAATAATTTCTTTTCTTCGGTTTTTTAGTTAAAAAATCTTTTTTCGTTCGTTTCTTTTTGTTAAATAATTTTTCTTCTTCCATTTTTTGTTAAATAATTTTTTCCTTGGGTTTTTTAGTTAAATAATCTTTTTTCTTTCGTTTTTTTTTGTTAAATAATTTTTCTTCTTCCATTTTTTGTTAAATAATTTCTTTTCTTCCATTTTATTATTAAAAAAATTTCTTCTTTGTTCTTTTTAAGAATTATCTTCAAAATATTCTTTTTTTCATTTTTTTAATGAATTTTCTACTTATTATATAAAATTAAATATATTATTTTTATTTTTTGTTTTTTTTTAACACTGCTACTGCTATTTTGAATTTAAGTAAATTATTTTTGCTATTTTGAATTTAAGTAAATTATTTTCAATCTCTTTGGCCTGATTATTGTTGGCAATTTCAAAAACTTATGTTTTTTTAATTAATATATTACCATTATATATGTAAGATTTTTTCTATAAATTATTGTATCGATAACTTTTATTTTTCTTCTATAAATCATCAGGTTTTCAAGATCAGATTGTTTTTTATACTTTTTAATTTTAATTTAGTAGAGTTTAGAAAAGTTGACAGTGCGAAGATTAATTGTCTAAGTTACATATTTTCTTTAACTTTACTCCAGATATTTTATAAGTTTGGAAGTTAAAAAAAACTTCCAAACAAAAATTATGTATATGCCCCCAAGCCCTCTAATCAAAAATCCACCACTGCTCGTCTCAGGGTGTATCACAGAAACATATTCTTCAATTTCTTCTTAAGCATATTATAGGACATTTACGGGAGTTCAACAATAGAGACCTCAAGGAAGCACTTAAAAGCAACTAACCTGGTGTAAGGAGATAGCACAAGAATCAGCTTCTGGAAACTCAGGGATAGCCTCATCGGAAATTTGTTTCATCAACTTGTCAAGATCGTCTAATGTAAAAAGGGCTGCTTCACAAGTCTCCCCCTCAATGATAGTATCTGTATTCGGTTTCTCAGCAGGTATCTCTCGATCATCAGTAAAATCACAGAATTCATCATCGGCCCAGTCTTCTTCTATAAATGGCGCTCCGTACTGCTCGCCATTTTTTGGACCAGGTCCACTTTTTTTGAAGACCTTATAAATAGCGTAATAATTCTGGAATAAAGAATAATAGAACTTAGCAAACAATAGATATGCAAGAAAAAACTAACGGCCTTGACAGAAAAGAAAAAAGGTACCAAGTTGAGAATGCGTTTACCTGCACATTTGTGCATCTGCTCAGCTCCTCCTCGTCCAAGGTGTATTCATGCATTACCCAGTCAGTACGCTCACCATTAGGGGCACGACCTTTATAGAAAACCAATGTCTTCTTTACTCCAACATCACGAGAATTACATGACACAGTACGATCCTTCCCAGTAGCTTTCCAGTACCCAAGCCTGGTTGCCCTATTTGATCTTGCCCCATTCGGGTACTTCCGATCTCTTGGACTGAAAAAAAACCATTGTCTATCACCAGTTTTTAGTTTAGAAAGTCCTGCATCACAGTCAATTACAACTTATTACGTTGAACACACTAAAATAAAAATGAAACAGCATTTAGGTGCAGCCAGAAAACTATTACAAAAGACCAACATAAGTTACATAACAGTAAAAATAGGCCATCAAAAAGACAGGATATATGTTAATGAGTCTAGGCTGAATCCAACCTACGGATTATAGATTATATGCTCCATTAACAAAAGAAACTACACCTTAGAAACACTAAATGATTCACCGAATGGAAAACATGAAGTAACAACCAATTGATTAATTTACCATTGTAGTCCTTAATAGTTCAATTTTAGTATCAATTTGCTCCATATGGTCACAAAATTTTCATTGTAGCCCTCCATTGGTTTGGTAAGATCTTAATTGTCTCTTAATGCATCCCTGTCATTACCAGATGTCAATAGTTTTCTTGTTCGTGGCATGTTTCCTTTAGATGTGGTAGAGAAGAAAAAAGGTGGGTTTTGATATTATAATTTTACAGCATGACCCACACCACTTTTGCAAAACTCATTTTCTGATCATACAAAAACCCATCCAATGTCCTATTTTAAACCAACTAAAACCCTAATACAGTCAGCTTAATATAAATCAATTCAAAACTCACACATACCTATTACTAACGTCAGCTTCACCTCTCTCTCTCTATCCCATGTCCAAATAAAGTAAAATGTAGCATACAAGAAAACTATTAATCTCTAATGATGACAAAGGCATTTAGAGAGATTTAACCAAACCATTGAGACTACAATGAAACTTTTGAAACCATAAAGACCAGATTAAAAATGAACACATACAATAGGACTAGAATGGTAATTTAACACCATGGTCTAATAAACTTGGCAAGCATCATTACTAGTAGTTAACTGAAATCAATTGCAGAAATCAGTCGTGATTACCATCCAACCAAACAAGGGCTTACCCATCCACACAGACAAAAAATGGGAGTAGTAAACAATCCAGGCATAGGTCTCATTCAATCAATAAGTTACATAAGAAGATTCAAACAAACAAGAATCATATCACTTCCAGCTCCCAGGCAAATTACAAATCATAATTGGAATTCAGAGATTAAATAACCAAGTGCAAACGGATTAAAGGATCAGAAACTGACGCCTGCAAATATCCAATAAACTTCGCAAAGAACCTCCAGAAAAGCAAGAGATAAATCACCCAAACGAATTGATTCCAAATTAAAATCGATAACTCAGCCGAATCAAAATTTGGGTCGGAACAAGGTCAGACGGCACCACACGAAGAGTCAATCATAAACACAAAACATCAATTTCTCCAAACAAAAACCGAATCAAAATATAAATTACAACGCTGAATCGGGGAAGAAAAAATAGATACCAGGCAATTCTTCGGGGTCCCACTTGTAGACGTCGGTATCGGCGATGATATCGAGCTTGATTTTTCTCCCACAGATCTTCCTCTTCAAATAGTAAAGTATGAGCTCCTCATCAGTTGGGTGGAACCGAAACCCCGGCGGCCAGACCTTGTCGTCGTTACCAGAACTCCCCCTCAAACTACCAGAGGCACAGGGGACTTTCATTTATGATCAGCAATTGGATTTTCTCGGATTCTGGAATCGGAAAGAGAGTGAAAAGCAGATGATCGGTCGATTGAAAATGGATTTTGAAGTGGGATTTTGGATTTGGATTTGGACTTCGAGAAGAAAGGGCAAGAGTGCAGAGGAAGGAAGCAGGGTTTAGGGATGTGTGAAGAAAGCGGACGCGAAATTTCGTTGGAATTCGAGATTAAAATGGATTTGATTTTTCCATATCTCGGGGAGACAAATATGTCTGGTGGAGCAAATCAAGCATGGGAGTGCGATCTCCGGCCAGCGTTTACTCACGTGTGGAAGAGGGGACCTGGAAGAGGGGAGGAGGGTCGAACCCGGGAAATTGGGATTTTTGACCATTTTCAATAATCACTCTGGATTTTTGACCCCCTTCAGATTTTTACTTATTCATGACCTCTCCACCTCAGTTTTCTGACTCCTCCCCTTATTTTATCATGTAAATTGACTAAATTGCCATCATTTCATAATAAATGCATTTATCATATAATAAATTTTTCACCAACCACCAACTTAACAATTCTCACTTTGTTTTTTCAACTCCAAATCACCACACACACGCAAGTCACGTTTTTTTTTTCCAATACTCAAGATTTTCTCCACGTGATTGTTGACCCACATTATCCAATCAATCGGTCCCCACATAATCCGTTATCTCGAATCCATTGTTTTCACCATATAGGTATGTCCATTTCATCATTTTAGAATATTGTACTTCTTCAAACTTGTAATGATACGAAATTTTATCATTTTTCTAGAAAAAACGTTATTTTACGGAAAACATAAATGAAGTCTAGAATTTATGTTGGACCGAGATTGGTACCGGGATGGAATTTAGAACCGGGTTTGAGAC